CAACAGTAGAGGTGAGAAGGGTTAGTGGGATTCAGAACCCAACAATTGAGGTGAGACGGGTGAGTGGGGTTCAGAACCCAACTCTAAAGGTGAGACAGGTGAGTCGGGTTCAAAACCCAACTCTAGAGGTGAGAGGGGTAGGTGGGATTCAGATTCCAACAGTAGGGATGAGACGGGTGAGTGGGGTTCAGAACCTAACCGCAGATGAGACGAGTATGTGGCGTTCAAAACCCATTTGCAGAGGTGAGACGGGTGAGTGGGGTTCAGAGCCCAACTATTGAGGTGAGACGGGTGAGTGGGGTTCAAAACCTAACTGCAGAGGTGAGACGAGTGAGTGGGGTTCAGAACCCAACTGTAGAGGTGAGACGGGTGAGTGGGGTTTAAAACCCAACTGTAGTGGTGAGACAGGTGAGTGAGGTTCAAATGATAACTGTAGGGGTCAGACGGGTTAGTGAGTTTTAGAACCCAACTGAAGAGGTAGTATGAGTGAGTGGGGTTCAAAACCCAACAGCAGAGGTGAGACGGGTGAGTGGGGTCCTTAATCCAACTGCAGAGGTGAAACGGGTGAGTGGGGTTCACAACCAAACTATTAAGGTGAGATAGGTGAGTGGGGTTCAGAACCCAACTCTAAAGGTGAGACAGGTGAGTGGGGTTCAAAACCCAACTCTAGAGGTTAGACGGGTAGGTGGGGTTCAGAACCCAACTGTAAAGGTGAGACGGATGAGTGAGATTCAGAACCCAACTGTAGGGATGAGACAGGTGAGTGGGGTTCAGAACCTAACCGCAAGTGAGACGAGTATGTGGCATTCAAAACCCATTTGCAGAGGTGAGACGGGTGGGTGGGGTTCAAAACCCAAAAATTGAGGTGAGACGGGTGAGTTGGGTTCAGAACCCAACTGCAGTGGTGAGACGAGTGAGTGGGGATGAGAACCCAACTTTAGAGGTGAGACGGGTGAGTGGGGTATAAAAACCCAACTGTAGAGGTTAGACGGGTGAGTGAGGTTCAGAAGATAACTGTAGGGGTGAGAGGGGTTAGTGAGTTTCGGAACCTAACTGACGAGGTGAGATGAGTGAGTGGGGTTCAAAACCCAATAGCAGAGGTGAGACGAGGGAGCAGGGTCCATAATCCATTTGCAGAGGTGAATCGGGTGAGTGGGGTTCAGAATCCAACTGCAGGGCTGAGACAGGTAAGTGGAGTTTGGAACTCAACTGTAGAGGTGAGGTGGGTGAGTGTGGTTCAGAGACTGTAGAGGTGAGGTGGGTGACTGGAGTTCTGAACACAACAGTAGATGTTAGACAGGTGAGTGGAGTTTTGAACCCAACTGTTGAGGCGAGACGGATGAGTGGGGTTCAGAAACCAAATGTTGAGGTGAGACGAGAAGGGGGGGTTCAAACTCCAACCGCGGAGGTTACACAAGAGTGGGGTTCAGAACCCAACTAGAGAGGTGAGACGGGTGAGTGGGGTTCAGAACCCAACTGTTGAGGGGAGACGGGTGAGTGGGGTTCACAACCCAACTCTAGAGTAAGACGAGTGAGTGGGGTTCGGAACCCAACAGCAGAGGTGAGACAGGTGAGTGGGGTTCAGGACCCAACTGCAGAGCTGAGACAGGTGAGTGGGGTTCAGAACTCAATTGTAGAGATGAGATGGTTGACTGGGGTTCCGAACCCAACTATTAAGGTGAGACGGGTGAGTCGGGTTCAGAACTCGACAGTAGAGGTTAGACGGGTGATTGGGGTTCATAACCCAACTGTACAAGTGAGATGGGTGAGTGGAGTTCCAAACCCAACAGTTGAGTTGAGACGGGTGAGTGGGGTTCAGAACCCAAAGGTTGAGGCTAGATGAGAAGGGGGGTTCCAAACTCCAACTGTAGAGGTGAGTGGAGTGAGTGGAGTTCAAAACCCAACGGCAAAGGTGAGACGGGTGAGTGGGGTTCAGAACCCAACTGCAGAGGTTAGATGAGTGAGTGGGGTTCAGAACCCAACTATTGTGTTGAGACGGGTGAGTGCGGTTCAGAACCCAACTGAAGAGGTGAGACGGGTTACTGGGGCTTAGAACCCAACTATTGAGGTGAGACCGGTGAGTGCGGTTCAGAACCCAACCATTGAGGTGAGACGGGTCAGTGGGATTCAGGACCCAACTGGAGATGTGAGACGGGTGAGTGGGGTTCAGAACCCAATAGTAGAGGTGAGATGGGTAAGTGGGGTTCTGAACCCAGCTATTGAGGTGAGTCTGGCGAGTGGGGATTAGAACACAACTGTAGGGGTAAGACGGGTGAGTGTTGTTCAGAACCCAACTGCAGAGGTGAGAACTAGTGAGTGGGATTTAAAACCCAACTGCAGAGGTAAGACAGGTGAGTGGCGTTCAGAAACCAACAGCAGAGGTGAGTCAGGTAAGTGGGGTTCATAACCCAACAGTGTAGGTGAGACAGGTTAGCGGGATTCAGAACCCAACTGTAGAAGTGAGTCGGGTGAGTGGGGTTCAGAACCCAACAGAAGAGGTGAGACGGATTAGTGGGGTTCAGAACCCAACTATTGAGGTGAGACGGGTAAGTGGGGTTCAGAACCCAACAGTAGAGGTGAGACGGGTTTGTGGGGTTCAGAACCCAACTATTTAAGTGAGACGGGTGAGTCGGGTTCAGAACCCAACTGGAGAGGTGAGACCGGTGAGTGGGGTTCAGAACCAAACTGCAGAGGTGAGGCGGGTGTGTGGGGTTCACAACCCACCTACAGAACTGAGATGGGTGAATGGGGTTAAGAATCCAACAGTAGAGGTGAGACAGCTAACTGAGGTTCAGAATCCAACTATTGAGGTGAGATGGGTAAGTGGGGTTCAGAACCCAACTGGAGAGGTAAGACAGGTGAGTGGGGTTCAGAACCCAACTGTAGAGGTGAGGCGAATGAGTGGGGTTCAGAACACAACTATAGGGTTGAGACAGGTGAGTGGGGTTCAGACACCAACAATAGAGGTAAGACGGGTGAGTGGGGTTGAGAACCCAACTACAGAGGTGACACAGGTGCGTGGGTTTCAGCACCCAACAGTAGAGGTGAGACGTGTTAGTGGGGTTAAGCACCCAACCATCGAGGTGAGAGGGGTGAGTGGGGCTCAGAACCCAACTGTAGAGGTGAGACAGGTGGGTGGGGTTCGGAACCCTTGCATTAGAGGTCAGACGGGTGAGGAGGTTCAGAACTCAACAGTAGAGGTGAGACGTGTGAGTGGGGTTCGGAACCCAACTGAAGAGGTGAGACGGGTAAAAGGGGTTCATAACATAATTGCGGAGGTGAGACGGGTGAGTGGGGTTCAGATCCCAAATGCAGAGGTGAGACGAGTAAGTGGTGTTCACAATCCAACTGCAGAGGTGAATGGGGTTCACAATCCAACTTGAGAGCTGAGTTGGGTGAGTAGGATTCACAACCCAACTGCAGAACAGAGACGGGTGAGTGGGGTTCGGAATCCAACTCTTGGGGTAAGACGGGTGAGTGGGGTTCAGGACCCAACTCGAGAGTTGAGACAGGTGAGTGGGGTTCAGAACCCATCTGCAGATATGAGTCTAGTTAGTGCGGTTCAGAACCCAAGTTTAATGGTGAGGCAGGTGAGTGCGGTTAAGAACCCAACTGCCGAAGTGAAACGGGTGGGTGGGGTTCAAAACCCGACAATACAGTTGAGATGGGTGAGTGGGGTTCAGAACCCAAGTGTAGAGACGGGTGAGTGGAGTTCAGAACCCGATAGTAGAGGTAAGACGGGGTGAGTGGGGTTGATAACGCAACTGTAGAGGTGAGACGGGTGAGTGGGGTTCGGAACCCAACTGCAGAGGTGAGTTGGGTGAGTGGGGTTTGGAAGCCATCTATAGAGGTGAGATGGGTGAGTGGGGTTGAGAGCCCAGCAGTAGAGGTGAGACGGGTTAGTGGGGTTCTGAACCCAACTGTAGAGGTGAGACGGGTGAGTGGGGTTCAGAACCCAACAGGAGAGGTGAGACGGGTAAGTGGGGTTCAGAACCCAACTAGAGAGGTGAGACGGATGAGTGGGGTTCTGAACCCAATCGCAGAAGTGAGTTGGGTGAGTGGGGTTCAGAGCCCAACAGTAGAGGTGAGACAGGTTGGTGGGGTTCAGAACCCAACAATTGAGGTGAGACGGGTGAGTGGGATTCAGAACCCAACACTCGCGGTGATATAGGTAAGTGGGGCTCAGAACCCAACTATTGAAGTGAGATAACTGAGTGGGGTTCCGAACCCAACAGGGAAGGTGAGAGGAGTGGGTGGGGTTCAGAAGCCAACTGTAGAGGTTAGACGGGTGAGTGGAGTTCACAACCCAATAGTAGAGGTGAGATGGGTGAGTGGGGTTCAGAACCCAACTGGAGAGGTGAGACAGGTGAGTGGGGTTCAGAACCCAACTGCAGAGGTGAGTTGGGTGAGTGGAGTTCAGAACCCAATGTTAGGATTAAGGACGGAGTCTAGGTGAACTTAGGAGCTAGAATTACTCAAAAGATATATCCGAAATTCTGGACAGAAAAGTCGTCTTCACAAGAAACGAGGTCGACAAAACACTAGCTGTTGGAATGTCGCGAAACTTGGATATGTTGTAGCTTGTAATCTTGGCTACCGTTCCCAATATTCATCACGTTGATTGATGAAGTATTCGCGACGCTATGGCTTTCGACGCATTAGGGGGTAAGCTGTAGGAGGAGAACTTAACTCAATCTCAAAAGTTCAATTAAAGTTCAAGAATCTCACAATGAATTAGAGGAGCAAGAGAAAGGTTTGGATAGAAAGAGAGGGACGAGAGGGAAGGTCCCAAGAGATTCCCCAACCAAGGAAACCCCATAAGCACAAACATTCCCCCCTATAGGAACCCCAACTTTGACATTTTTCCCTTCCCAACCAATCCATCCAAGTTGGCCACCCTTGTCAACCTAGCTTGGTTGTTCCCAACCAATTTGCAGCTGTTACAGTAGAGTGACGAATTTCCCCAACTCCAAAGGTCCCAAATCCATATAGAGTCACCCCACAACTTCACTTTGTAACCGCCGCAATTGTAACGCAAGCTCATGAACTTTGAATCTTCATAGCTTTCGCGTTCTTGCTCCGATTGAAGGGATTCTTGTTGTGTCGGAAAGATCTTCTCAAGATCTATCATCAGAAATACCTGCTCAGACAGAATAACACAAAACACATTCCCAAAACTCCAGAACACACCACACACAAATTATTGCACACGTTCAAACCACACATGCAAGTTGAAAACATAGGATGGGAGGCAGACAGAATGTGATAGCATATGATGACATCACACAACAATCTCCCCCTCTGGCTGCCAGCCATCATCCACCATACCAACATCTCAAGCATGCATACTCAATGCACACTCATCCCAGCAAGCTTCATGCCCTTCCAATGATCCGCCTCCGCCAGACGCTTAGTGAAAATATCTGCTGCCTGCTGATGGGTCTTCACTATCTCCAGCCGCACCTCCTTATCAAGGAGTCTCTTCACCCAATGCCATTTAGGCCTTATGTGTTTTGTCAGCCCATGCAGACAAGCATTCTTGGCGAGCTTCACAGCAAACGCCTCAGCCATACCACTTCCTTGGCCCCATGGTGTAAGGCCATGTACTCAGTCTCACATGAGGACAATCCCACCTCATTCTGCTTCTTGCTGCGCCAACTCACAGCACCACCTCCTAGCAAGCACACATAACCCCCAATGCTGGTGCCATCCGTTTTCACTGAGTTGAAGCTAGCGTCATTATAGCAACTCAAGAGCATCTCTCCACTCTTCACATCTGCAGCACCTCTCTGCAACCGCTGCCTCACTCTACTGTACTCCAATCCCACTGATGCCGTAGCGCTCACATAGCGGACCAACCTCTTGGCTGCTTCCAGCTGCTCATGACTAGGGCGTGAGACCACACTAGCCAACCGTGATGTAGCAAATGCAATGTCAGGCCGTGTATGATTTGCAGCATAATTCAGCGACCCAACCATCGAATGAAACAGCTTCCTGTCATTCTCACCCACTACCTCCTCATCAGCACATGGCTCGACAGTAAACCCCGAAGGTAGTGGTGTTGCTGGCTTTCCCCCATCTTGCAGCCCATACTTCTCAGCCAGCCCCTCACAGTACTTCCTCTGGTGCAACCTCAGCACACCTTTTTCCACATCTCTCTCCACATGCATCCCCAGGTAGTACTTCACCTCACCCATCTTGGAACACTTGAACTGCATCTCCAGCATCTGCTCTGCGCTGTCCAGCAAAGCAGTTGACGCAGAAAAGAGAAGGATATCATCCACATACACCAAGAGCATGAGGATTTCATCCTTCTCCTGCAGCACGAACAGGCTAGGGTCACACTCACTCTTCTTGAAACCCCCAGCCAACAGCGCCTCCTCCAACTTGTGATACCATGCACGAGGCACCTGCTTAAGGCCATAGATGGCCTTCTTCAGCCTGCAGACCCTGCCGCTCCCATCATCCAGCCCCTCTGGCTGCTTCATATACACCTCCTCCAGAATGATCCCATTCAGAAAGGCAGTCACAATGTCCATCTGCCGTATCTTCTATCCCTAGAGTGCAGCTATCGCCAATAGCATCCTTAGTGTTGTTCCTTTCCCCACAGGAGCAAACACCACATCATAGTCCTTCCCCTTTGTCTGCTGAAACCCCCGTGCCACAAGCCTAGACTTGTAGCGGGTCAGCTCCCCTTCAGGTCCATACTTGTGCCTGTAGATCATCTTGGAAGTGATTGCCTACTTCCCAGGAGGCAAGTCACACAGGTCCCATGTCTCGTTCTCAATCAGGGACCCGAACTCCTCATCCTCACTCGCCTTCCACTTCTCCCCATTTGGTCCATTCAAGGCCTCCTCTCGAGTCTTGGGCTCAGGGATTGGTGCCCAGTAGCAGTGAGCGATCTCATCTTCCTCAATCTGCTCAACCACACTCCCAGCCTGCACCACATTCAGCTTGCCTCTTCCCCCATAGGTCAGCCTCACCGGAGGGCGCACATCCCTCCTAGGTCGCTCAGGCGGGTGTGGAACTCGAGGTGGAGACTCATGCTGCTGCTCCTGCTGCTCCACTTCAGCTGCTCCCCCTTCCTCAGTCACCCCAGACATCTCCTCCTCAGACACTGCAACCTCCACCTGTCTTGAAGGCCGCTGCACCTCATCTGCCTCCACAATGAGCGATGTAGATGGAAGCTTCTGTTGCTGCTGCTTCCATTCCTTGTAGTACAAGGACTCAAGAAACTTCACATCCCTTGATACTGTCAGCTTCTGGGTGGTCAAGTCCCATAGCAGCCACCCCTTGTGATCCTTTGCAATCCCCAAGTGCACACCCCATCTTCCAGAAGCCTCCAACTTCCCCCTTTTCTCCTTGGGCACATGAAACACCACCATGCACCCAAATGCCCTCAGCATGTTCACAGCTGGAGCACTCCCATACCACTTGACATATGGGATCCACTCCTTATCCCCAACTGTAGCCAGCACCCTGTTCTTCACAAGGGCGACCTGCCTCAGTGCAGACACCCAAAATGGATCAGGCAGCCCTGCACGCCCAAGGAGAGTGCGTGCCCCCTCCTGCAGGGTCCTGTTGAACCTCTCAGCCACGCCATTCTGCTGCGGGTTGTAGGGCACTGTCAGTTGATGCTGGATCCCCTTCCTCTTCAACTCCCCCTCAAAATCAGCTCCAATGAACTCCCCACCATTATCACTGCGGATCACCTTCACCTTGTGTCCGCATTCCCTCTGAGCTCTAGGCATCCACTCCTTTAGGACAGCCGCTGCCACCTCCCCCTTGCTCTTGAAAGGGTAAACCCACACTGCCCGAGTGTGGTCATCCACAATTGTCAAGAAATAGCGGTTGCCTGAGAGGGAAGGGGCTCTTGTGGGCCCCACCACATCCATGTGCACAAGTGCAAGTGGGGTCTTGGCTGGTCCTGTAGTGCTGTTGAAGGGGAACTTGGAGAACTTGGTCTCCAAGCATGTAGGGCAGCTCCCAATCTCCTTCACTCCCCCTTGCACCTCCAAGCCCTTCAGGCTCCCATCCTTCACCAACTTCTGCAGCATAGGGAGTTCACATGACACAGCCTCTCATGTCATGTCTCCCAATCGGCCTCACCACTCCTAGATGAAGCCTTGGCCCATGCTGCACTCGCATCCACACCAGCAAGCACCTCGCCATGTGTCAGCTGCTTCTGCACTTTCTTAACTTCTTCCAGGACACCATCAGTTGGTGCAGTTGCATCTCCTCCTGCTGTTGCCTTTGCCGCTGCTGCTGTTGCTGCTGTTGGAGTCTTCCCATTCCAAGGGATGATGGGCAGCTGCCATAGGTCCTTGATGCAGCTGGTCTCCTCTTCCAGACTCTACAGCACCTTCTTCCCAAGCTTAGCACGGCGGCTGGTTGGTCCAAAGGTCACTTCGGCCTTGCTCTTCTGCAGTCGCCGCACAGAGAGAAGGTTAGCAGACAAACCTTCAACCAGTAGAACATTCCCAAGCCCCACAAGTTCCCCATTAGCTCCCTTAACCTTGGCATTCCCAACACCAATGATAGGGAGCAAAGCATCTGACGCTGCTGCCACATACTTAATCTTCCCAGGGGGTTTTACCTCATCAAGCAAATCTGCCTGTGGGGTCATGTGACTGGTGCAACCTGAATCAATCACCCAGTGTATGAGAGGGTGCATCACAACCTTTCCCACAGATCTCACATCACCCTCATGCCCATGCACATCCTCAACCATAAGAAACATCCCAAGATAGGCATTACCTTGTGCACCTTCACCTAGTGCACCTGAGCCTTGCACAGCGTCACCTTGTGCGCGTTCACCACTGGGCGGCTTCATGCCTGGAGGTGCCCATCCCTCCGGCCTGCTGAAGCACTTGAACCAAGGATGCCCGACCTTCTTGCAGTACCAGCAGGTGCCCTCCATTCTAGTACTCCCCCTACCACCGGAGCTCCCATGCCCCCCATTATGGTCACCTCGGCCTCTACCTCTATTAAAGCTCCTCCCACGACCTCGGCCTCTCCAACCCCCTCTTCCTCTGCCACGCCCTGCAGCTCCATACCCCTCAGCAGTCTTAGTGGAAGCACCACCTCCCACATGGCGTCTGCGGAAGTCCTCCTGCAGAATCTGCTGCCTTAGCCACTCAGGTATCCATTGATCTTGCTGAGAGTTGAGGGTGGAGATGAGGTTGTCCCAAGAGTTGTCCAACACCGAGATGATCTTGGTGCACTGCTGCAGCTGAGATACACTGCTGCCCGCTGCTGCCATCCTTGCATAGGTGTCCTTGATCTTGTCAAGGACCGGCTTCGCATCGTCCCCTGGTCGCATGGAGATGGCAGCAATTTCCTTCTCGAGCACGATCACCATCAGGAGAGTGTTGGGCTGAATCACATCGCGTAGTAGTTTCCACGCCCTTGGACCTGAATCATCCGCTTCCACAAGATCCTTAATGTGCTCGAACATCTCCTTGTTGACCGATTGAAGGATGAGGTCGAAAAGCACCGCGCTTTTCTCAATCCACCGTTCACGTGCTTCGCCTTCTTCCGGCATCTTCTCTTCCCCAACAGCAATCTTCAGTAGCTTGTAGCGTTTGAAGGCACTCCTCATCCGACCGCTCCATTCCTCATAGTTGGAGCCATCCAAAGCTTCAACTTTTGATGGCGGCGGCTCACTTGTCTTCTCAGGTACAGCTCCTCTTCCATTAGCATCTCCTCCTCTCTCATTCATCTTCTCCTTGAGAAATGACGAATTTCAGTTCCCCTTTGCTGTCCACACTCAGCTCCCTCGATATTTTCACAAGTATCGGCGTCCACGAAATTTCGGCAGAGTTTCCCCTTAGCGGAAGACACGTCCAACCTTTAGAACACCACTTAGGCACACCCACAGGCCATGGTGGGTCTAGAAGGGTCTTCAAACTTCTGTAGAATCCTCTCAATGTCCTCAATATCGGTCTCATACCACTTGTTAGGATTAAGGACGGAGTCTAGGTGAACTTAGGAGCTAGAATTACTCAAAATATAAATCCGAAATTCTGGACAGAAAAGTCGTCTTCACAAGAAACGACGTCGACGAAACACTAGCCGTTGGAATGTTGCGAAACTTGGATATGTTGTAGCTTGTAATCTCAGCTACCGTTCCCAATTTGCATCACGTTGATTGATGAAGTATTCGCTACGCTATGGCTTTCGACGCATTAGGGGGTAAGCTGTAGGAGGAGAACTTAACTCAATCTCAAAAGTTCAATTAAAGTTCAAGAATCTCACAATGAATTAGAGGAGCAAGAGAAAGGTTGGGATAGAAAGAGAGGGATGAGAGGGACGGTCCCAAGAGAGTCCCCAACCAAGGAAACCTCATAAGCACAAACATTCCCCCCTATAGGAACCCCAACTTTGACATTTGTCCCTTCCCAACCAATCCATCCAAGTTGGCCACCCTTGCCAACCTAGCTTGGTTGTTCGCAACCAATCTGCAGCTGTTACAGTAGAGTGACGAATTTCCCCAACTCCAAAAGTCCCAAATCCATATAGAGTCACCCTACAACTTCACTTTGTAACCGCCGCAATTGTAACGCAAGCTCATGAACTTTGAATCTTCATAGCTTTCGCGTTCTTGCTCCGATTGAAGCGATTCTTGTTGCGTCGGAAGGATCTTCTCAAGGTCTATCATCACAAATACCTGTTCAGACAGAATAACACAAAACACATTCCCAAACTCCAGAACACACACCACACAAATTCCTTCACACACAGTCAAACCATACATGCGAATTGAAACAAGGGATGGGAGGCAGACAGAATGTGATAGCATATAGTGACATCACAAAACACCCAACTGTAGAACTGAAATAGGTGAGAGGGGTTCAGAACCCAAAGGTACAGGTGAGATGATTTCTGGGGTTGAGAACCCAACTTTTGAGGTGAGACGGGTGAGTGGGGTTCAGGACCCAACTAGAGGGGTGAGACAAGTGAGTGGGTTAAAAAACCCAAATGTAGAGGTGAGACGAGTGGGAAGGTTTATAACCCAACAATAGAGGTGAGAAGGGTTAGTGGTTTTCAGAACTTAAATGCAGAGGTGAGACGAGTGGGTGGGGTTAACAACCCAACTGAAGAGGTGAGACAGGTGAGTGGGGCTCAGAACCCAACTATTGAGGTGAGATGGGTGAATGGGGTTCAGATCCCAACAGTAGAGGTGAGACGGGTTAGTGGGGTTCAGAGCCCAACCATTGAGGTGACATGGGTGAGTGGGGTTCAGAACCCAACCATAAAGGTGAGACGGGTGAGTGGGGTTCAAAACCCAACTATTGAGGTGAGACGGGTGAGTGGGGTTCAAAACCCAACTATTGAGGTGAGACGGGTGAGTGGGGTTCAGATCCCAACTGTAGAGGTGAGACGGGTTTGTGGGGTTCAGAACCCAATGGTTGAGGTGAGACGGGTGAGTTGGGTTCAGAACCCAACTGTAGAGGTGAGATGGGTGGGTGGGGTTCAAAACCCAACTGTAGAGGTGAGACAAGTGAGTGGGGTTCAGAACCCAACAGTAGGGGTGAGACGGGTGAGAGCGGTTCAGAACCCAACTTTAGAGGTGAGGCGAGTGAGTGGGGTTCAGAACCCAACTATATTGGTGAGACAGGTGAGTGGGGTTCAGAACCCAACTGTAGAGGTGAGACGGGTGAGTGGAGTTCAGAACCCAACTAAAGAGGTGAGACAAGTTAGTGGGATTCAGAACCCAACTGTAGAAGTGAGTCGGGTGATTGGGGTTCATAACCCAATAGTAGAGGTGAGACGGGTGAGTGGGGTTCAGAACCCAACTTTTGAGATGAGACGAGTGAGTGCGGTTCAAAACCTAGCTGGAGAGGTGAGACAGGTGAGTGGGGTTCATAACCCAACTATCGAGGTGAGACGGGTGAGTGGGGTTCAGAACCCATCTGGAGAGGTGTGACAAGTGAGTGGGGTTCAGAACCCAACTGCAGAGGTGAGACGAGTGAGTGGGGTTCGCAACACAACTGAAGAGGTGAGACGGGTGACTGGGGTTCAGAACCCAACAGTAGAGGTGAGACCGGGAAGTGGTGTTTTAGAACCCAACAATTGAGGTGAGACGAGTGAGTGGGGTTGAGAACCCAACCATTGAGGTGAGATGGGTTAGTGGGGTTCAGGACCCAAATGGAGAGGTGAGATGGGTGAGTGAGGTTCAGAACCCAACTGTCGAGGTGAGTCAGGTGGGTGGCGTTTGGAACCCAACTATAGAGTTGAGACAGGTGAGTGAGGTTCAGACCCCAAAAGTAGATTTGAGACTGGTTAGTGGGGTTCAGAACCCAATAGTAGAGGTGAGACAGGTGAGTGGGGTTCATAACCCAACTTTTGAGGTGAGACGAGTGAGTGGGGTTCAGAACCTAGCTGGAGTGGTGAGACAGGTGAGTGGGTTTCAGAACCCAACTGGAGGGGTGAGACGGGTGAGTGGGGTTCAGAACCCAACTGCAGAGGTGAGACAAGTGAGTGGGGTTTCGAATCCCAACTGAAGAGGTGAGACGGGTGATTGGGGTTCAGAACCCAACTGCCGAAGTGAGACCGGGAAGTGGTGTTTTAGAACCCAACAATTGAGATGAGACGAGTGAGTGGGGTTGAGTACCCAACCATTGAGGTGAGCAGGGTTAGTGGGGTACAGGTCCCAACTGGAGAAGTGAGATGGGTGAGTGGGATTCAGAACCCAACTGTAGAGGTGAGACGGGTGGGTGGGGTTCGGAACCCAACTGTATAGTTGAGACAGGTGAGTGAGGTTCAGACCCCAATAGTAGAGGTGAGACTGGTTAGTGGGGATCAGAACCCGACTGTAGAGGTGAGTCGGGTGACTCAGGTTCAGAATCCAACTGGAGAGGTGAGACGGGTAAGAGGGGTTCAGAACCCAACAGTAGAGGTGAGACAGGTGAGTGGGGTTATAGAACCCAACTATTGAGGTGAGATGGGTGAGTGGGGTTTAGAGCCGAAAAGGAGAGGTAAGACAGGTGAGTAAAATTAAAAAACCCAACTAGAGAGGTGAGACGGGTGAGTGGGATTCAAGCCCAACAGTAGAGGTGAGACGGGTGTGTGGGGTTCAGAACCGAACCGGAGAGGTGAGACCAGTGAATTGGCCTCTGAACCCAACTGTAGAGGTGAGACGGGTGAGTGGGGTTCATAACCCAACTGCGGAGGTGAGACGAGTGAGTGGGGTTCAGAACCCATCTGCAGAGGTGAGACTAGTGGGTGGGGTTCACAATCCAACTTCAGAGGTTAGACGGGTAAATGGGGTTCAAAACCCAACAATAGAGATTAGACGTGTAAGTGGGCTTCAGAACCCAACTATTGAGGGTAGATGGGTGAGTGGGGTTCAGAACCCAGCTGTAGAGGTGAGACGGGTGGGTGGGGTTCGGAACCCAACTGTAGAGGTGAGACGAGTGAGTGGGGTTCAAATCCCAACAAAAGAGGTGTGACAGGTTAGTGGGGTTCAGAACCCAACTATAGAGGTTAAGACGGGTAAGTGGGGTTCAGAACCCAACTGGAGAGGAGAGACTGGTGAGTGTGGTTCAGAACCCAACTGCAGAGGTGAGACGGGTGAGTGGGGTTCAAAACCCAACAGTAGAGGTGAGACGCGTTAGTGGGGTTAAGAACCCAACCATTGAGGTGAGACTGGTGAGGGGGGTTCAGATCCCAACCATTGAGGTGAGACGGGTGAGTGGGGTTCAGGACCCAACTGTTGAGGTGAGACGGGTGGGTGGGGTTCAGACCCCAACAGAAGAGGTGAATCAGGTTAGTGGGGTTTGAAACCTAACTGTAGAGGTGAGATGGGCTAGTGGGGTTCAGAACCCAACTGTAGAGGTCAGACGGGTGAGTGGGGTTCAGAATCCAATTGCAGAGGTTAGACAGGTGAGAGGGGTTCAGAACCCAACTAGAGAGGTGAGACAGGTTAGTGGGGTTCAGAACCCAACTGTAGAGGTGAGATGGATCAGTGGGGTTCAGAATCCAACAATAGAGGTGCAACAAGTGAGTGGGGATTAGAACCCAACTAAAGGGGTGAGAAGGGTTCGTGGGGTTCAGAACCCAACTGTAGAGGTGAGACGGGTGAGTGGGGTTCAGAACCCATGTGCAGAGGTGAGGCGGGTGAGTGGGGTTCACAACCCACCTACAGAGCGGAGACGGGTGAGTGGGGTTCAGAACCCAACAATACAGGTGAGTCAGGTTAGTGGGGTCCAAAACTCAACTATTGAGGTGAGACAGGTAAGTGGGGTTCAAAACCCAACTGTAGAGGTGAGATCGGTGAGTTGGGTTCAGATCCCAAATGTAGGGGTGAGATGGGTGAGAGGGGTTACGAACCAAAGTGTAGAGGTGAGGCGAGTGAGTGGGGTTCATAACCCAACTATTGAGGTGAGACGGGTGAGTGGGGTTCAGAACCCAACAGCAGAGGTGAGACAGGTTAGTGGGGATCATAACCTAACTGCAGAGGTGAGACGGGCGAGTGGGGTTCAGAACCCAACTGGAGAGGTAAGACGAGATAGTGGGGTTCAGAACTAACCTGCAAAGCTAAGACGGGTGAGTGGGGTTCAGAACCTAACTGCAGAAATGAGTCGGGTGAGTGGGGTTCAGAAACCAACAGTAGAGGTGAGACGGGTTAGTGGGGTTCAATACCCAACTATTGAGGTGCGACGTGTGAGTGGAGTTCAGAACCCAAAAGTAGAGGTGAGACGGGTTAGTGGGTTTCAGAACCCAACTATTGAGGTGAGACGGGTGAGTGGGGTTCAGAACCCAACAGCAGAGGTGAGACAGGTTAGTGGGGATCATAACCTAACTGCAGAGGTGAGACGGGCGAGTGGGGTTCAGAACCCAACTGGAGAGGTAAGACGAGATAGTGGGGTTCAGAACTAACCTGCAAAGCTAAGACGGGTGAGTGGGGTTCAGAACCTAACTGCAGAAATGAGTCGGGTGAGTGGGGTTCAGAAACCAACAGTAGAGGTGAGACGGGTTAGTGGGGTTCAATGCCCAACGATTGAGGTGCGACGTGTGAGTGGAGTTCAGAACCCAAAATTAGAGGTGAGACGGGTTAGTGGGGTTCAATACCCAACTATTGAGGTGCGACGTGTGAGTGGAGTTCAGAACCCAAAAGTAGAGGTGAGACGGGTTAGTGGGTTTCAGAACCCAACAATTGAGGTGAGACAGGTGAGTCGGGTTCAGAACCCAACAGCAGAGGTGAGATAGGTGAGTGGGGTTCAGAACCCAGCTCTAGAGGTGAGACGGGTGAGTGGGGTTAAGAACCCAACTGTAGAGGTGAGACGGGTGAGTGGGGTTCAGAACCTAACTGCAGAAATGAGTCGGGTGAGTGGGGTTCAGAAACCAACAGTAGAGGTGAGACGGGTTAGTGGGGTTCAATACCCAACTATTGAGGTGCGACGTGTGAGTGGAGTTCAGAACCCAAAAGTAGAGGTGAGACGGGTTAGTGGGTTTCAGAACCCAACTATTGAGGTGAGACGGGTGAGTGGGGTTCAGAACCCAACAGCAGAGGTGAGACAGGTTAGTGGGGATCATAACCTAACTGCAGAGGTGAGACGGGCGAGTGGGGTTCAGAACCCAACTGGAGAGGTAAGACGAGATAGTGGGGTTCAGAACTAACCTGCAAAGCTAAGA